TTACCGCAACAAGTTAATCGCTTCTGCTATCGGTTGTGGCACTTCACCATCCATCGGATTCCCGGATGCTGCAGCACCGGCAACACCGACACCCAGCGAACCGCTCGTACCCACGCCAGCTGGCACCAGGGTACCCGTACCTCCAAGACCTGCTGCAGTTGTAGGCGCTGTTGCTGTTGCGCCGGCACCAAAAAGTCCACCAGCAGTTGCAGTTGTTGTTGCTGTTGCTGTGGGTGTGCCGAATAAACCTAATAAAAACAAAGAAAAAAAGAAATTTGAAGAGATTTTAACACACATGGAATAATAATCAAAAATCCTAGATTTCATTTAACACATGGAATTAAACGGCAAGAAATGTATACAACTTAATGGACACTGAAACATTTCTTACCTATTACAAATTTTCCCATAGTCCCCTTCCCCCTTCTTGCTTCGCTTTTCCTTCGTTTTCTTCCCTTTTTCATCTTTTCTACTTCATTATTTTCTCTTTATCATTTAATTAAAATCACCAGATTTATAAATATATAAGCCAAACTATTATTGTAGCAGTGCAGGCCGAAAAGGAGCTGTTCGTTTGGTGGATATGAAAGAGAAAACAGATGGACAAAGCGGATTTTTGAATGGTACCTGAGCAATGTTAAGCAAACACTGAGAAGATGAAACGATAACGCTTACAAGGAAATCTAAGCGCCAGGAATTCAGGCCAAGGAAAACGCAAAACTACACATAAAGTTTTATTCGTCACAACAATCTGACCCTTTTATTTTCTTTCTTTCATTATCATCACAAACCTTAGGCGATTACCGCTCCACCCCTGCACTGTCGTATTTCATGCACTAATTTTGCGGTTTTTCCATCTAACACCATTAGCTATTGGGCCGCTGTTTCGGCCCTTCTTCTTTTCCTCACAGGGCCTTTTAAGCCCGTACTGCCTTTTATAGTGATTTATCGACGGATATGGAGCCGAGTACTGGAAAAATAGTCCAAAAAATTACCTGTAGTGGGTTTGCCAAAAAGAGTTCCAGTAGCGGTCGGAGCCGGGGTACTGCCGAACAAAGTTGGCGTTGCCGTTGTTGCAGTAGTACCACCACCGAAAAGGATTGGAGTGGCAGTCGAAGTGGTTGTTGTCTGAGTGGCGCTACCAAAAAGACTACCTGAAATTTTTTTCCGTCAAAAAATAAAGGGGAAAAAATAATTTTTGAAGAAACCACCGAAAAAAAAGGCAAATTTCCGGCAAAATAAACCAAAAGGTACGGGGAAAAATAATTTTTAAAGAAACCATCGAAAAAATGCAAAAAAATAAATCACTGGAAAAGGGGAAAAACAATTTTTTAAATACGCAAATCGGAGAAATACAGCCATTTTCTTCCGGCAGAAAAACATACGAAAAGCCGGTAAAAAAGCCGCCAAAAAAATATATATTGCATCTGGGAAAGTAATTAGATGAAGGTAGATGCTATTATAAAAAGACAGATAAACGGCCGAAGTGGATGGTCAAGGGGTATACCCATAAAATTTCAGCTCCCTAACTCAGCGGTTCCCGAGATAATGATTTTACCCGAAAAACTTTTACGGGGCTGTACGTGTTACCCGCGGGTACGAAAAAGCTGAATTTAAATTTGCTGCGTCCCAGGTTGGGTCTTGGGAACAAAGGCCCGCAGTAGTTATGCCGCATTCTGATGTGAAGACGAGAAATTTTTTTCGGGTAAATTGCTAACTCGAGAATTTGAAAAGCTAGAAGACTGCAATTTTAAGAGGATATTCGCCGTCCACCTATGTTTCATTGAGCTCAAACCAACACTCCGGGTATGCGGGTTCAGTTCCCCCTTGCCTACATCCACCTGTAAAAGTGGGTTCCGACCAAAACATGGAAGGAAAAAATAATATTAAAATTATCATCCGGAAAGTCAAATTAAATAACTTTTTCTCTGCTCAAGAACTTGCCGACCTTTTAATAAAAATCTAGCAACACAGCAAAAAGCGGCCTTTTTTCCCTTTCTAATTTTAACTCCGCGGCAAATTTAAGCTTTTCCTTAAGTCATTTTGAGGGGATATGGAATTTTTTCCCATCAACTATTGCTTAGTATCACTGCTGGACAAATTAAGTATTGACTCTATCGTGAATAAAAATTGCTTTTTGCTTGAAACTTC